CCCGCCCTCAGAGAGCCAGTTGTTAAGTATTTAACAGTACATCACTGGGTGAATCCAACTACTTTCATTTCTGGAAGTCACATCTCATTCTAGGTAGAATGGCGTATTCAGTGGAGCATACTTCTAGAGCACAAGAGGTTGGGGCTGGTGTGGGATAAAGGGATAGGATGTCTGGGGACCCAGACAAGCAGTCAATGCAGTGGCCAGACTTTCCTGGATGCCTTTCTCTGAAAAAAATGACAAGGAGGGAGGACGGACACAAGGCCTTCCTAAAAGTTACCCTAACAGCCTAGAATCCAGTTTTTTCTGTTTGTTGTAGGTTCTCTTTCAAGTTAGGACCTTTCCTGTGATGCCTGGTGATCCTGGCTGGAAGAGGACCATTTGGCATCTGTACCAGGTCTCTCCCGTTTGGTTGTCAGTGTTTGAGGAGACAGCATGGGTGGAGGGATGTCTTACTCTTCATATGCAGACTTTCCCTTAACTCCCCAGTTTTCAGAGCAGCCCTTCTTTCTTTCCGAGCTCTACCCAGAGGCTAGGACCTCTCTGGTTCAAATCTCCAGAATAACCTTCTGCCAGGGTCAGGTGGGGATAGGTGCCTCGAGATGCCCAATCTGCTGCCTTTGGAGGGCATCTGGAAAGGCAATTTTTCCTTATACGAACTTTCCATCAGTCCTCTTATTTCAGTTCCATGTCCTGCACCCCAGCCTTCTATACCCACTTCCTGAGTTCTATGGCAGGAATAGGCTTTGTTTCTGCACCAACCTCCACGTTGTCCTGCTCCTTGAAAGCATTTAGGTTTCAACTTTCTGCTCTCTGATTAATTACCGCTTGTCCATCTGCTTCCCGTTTTCTCTAATTTTATTAGAACTTCTCATCTATTGTCCTCCTTCTCTTTGCCTCTGTGGATGTGTAGCTCTGAAAAATGCATTTATTGCCATTGTAGTGAGATTTTAAATAGGAGCAGAGATAAATACAAGTTTTCCATCTATTATAACCAAAAGTCTTCATCCTCCATCCAGTTGATCATCCGACAGACACTTGCTGAACACCTAGTGTCGTCTGGGTCCTTGGGCTGCAAAGATGAACCAGAACCATCTCTGCCCACCCTGACCTGACAGCCCTGACAGGGGTGGGGGTGGGAACAGCATCTTCACTCCCCCAACTGATGCCTCCTCCTGTCCCCTGGAGAATGGTCTCCCCCTTGAGGTTCACCTTGGTAGAGCAGCCTCCACGGAAGCTTCCAGGAACCTTTTAAAGAGCCAGCATGGGAAGGATCCACGTCGGTCCCATGTCAGTCCCACGTGGATCCAGGTGGGATGGTTCTGGGAGGAAGAAGAACTGTTGCTCAAGGCTCTGTTGTGTTTCTGTGGGGGTGGTCAGTGGGCAGGCAGCCTTGGAGGGGGCTTCCCAGCTTTCACCACTGCGCACCTGCCCCACCCGTCTCTCTCCTTGGTGCCATTCTGCCAGGTGGATCCTCTCACTCCGGTTTGGCATCTGTCCCAGGAGGGATTCCTGCAGACAAAACAGTCTGGGAACACAAAGCTTCTATGGCCACCACGTGAACCGTCTGCTCTGTCCCTCTGTTCCCTCCAGTGTACTCGCTGCCTCCTGGAGGCACTATGTGGGTCCCAGTCCTCCTTGACTTAGCATCTATGTCTTTGCGGGGAGAATGGAGAGTAGACTTAGAAGAATCACTGAAGAGGAAGACACTGGACTCTAGGATTGGGAAGCTGTGGAGTTCCATTCCCACCCTGGCCTGGAGACATGGGATAAGGGCCTCCTTGAATACAGATATAGCCAACTGTTAATGGGATTGTGCAGGCAGAAGGGCCACAGGGGAAGGCATTGAAGTGAGGAGCTATAGGGGCCCTCCAGCTCTGTCCAGGCCTTCCTCACAGATTTAAAGATGGGCTAAAAGCATGGTGATGAGGTGGAAAGACTTTGGTATCACCACTTAAAATTTTGTCAACCTCAGAATGTGATTTGTCTGCCCCTCTTGTCTCATGAGGAAATAATACCCATCCCACAGAGCTGTCGTGAGCCTATTCAACAAGCTTAGCATGGTGCCTTGAACACAGTTGGTATTTAATAATAGTTCCATCCTACTTTAGCTTTCTTTAATCCTTTCGTTAATTATGCATGCATACATTCATTCGCTCAATATTTTATTGAGCTCAAGCCCCTGTCAATCAAATGTCCTCTCAAAAAGGTAATTGAGGAGGATTTAATGAGGGGACTATTTACAGAGAAATGAGATGATTAAAGGACTAGTGATGTGCACAGTGGCAATAGAGGGAAGCCCTTCTTACCCCTAAGCTTGAAGGGTACGGGGAGGGGGCTTTGTTTTAGGAGCCCAGAGGGAGCTCTGGCAGGAGGTATGCCTGAAGGTAGAAGAAATCGACCAGCCTTTCTCTCTCCCCACCCTCCAATCTCCTTCCAGTGCTTCTCAATGGATGACGCCAGCCTGAAGCCAGAGGGCAGGGAGCCTGGTGACTCAGTCCATAGGGGTCAGCCTCCCGGGGCTCATAGCAGACAGAGAAAGGTAGAAAATGAGTGGGGAAGGGGCATACAGAATAAGCAACACAGTGCCAAGTGGAATCCATGGTTTCAGGTGCTGGGAGGATGCAAAAGATGAATAAGACAATGGGTTCTATCCTCTGGGAGCTTGCTGGATTCCTGAGGGCAGCTACTTATAATTCCGGAAAGAAATGAATGTTATGTCTACATTATTGTAAAATGTGAATGTTGTCACAGGTCCTAGGATGACCCCCGCCCCCCGCAATTTCAACCCCCTGTTGTCCCTGACCTTGTCCCATAGAATACTGCAAAGGTGATGGGATGTCACCCTCTTGATTAGGTCACATTATATGACTCCATTTTAGCAGATTGTAAAGGGATTCTCCTCTCTGGCTCAATGAAATAAGCAGCCATATGGAGGAAACCATGTAACAAGGAACTATGAACAGCTTCTGGAAACTTCAGACAGCCTCTAGGATCCAAGAGTGGTCTCCAGACAATACCTAGCAAAAAGCCAGCGCCCTCAGTCATAGAGCTGGCAGGAAATGAATTCTTCCAACAACCTGAATGAGGTGGAAGTGAATTCTTCCCCAGTCCAGACTCCGGATGAAAACACAGCCCAGGTGACACTTGGCTTGCAACCTTGTGAGACCCTGGGCAGAGGACACAGCTAAATCATATCCGAACTCCTGGTCTGCAGAAACTGAGATAATAAATGTGTAGAGTTTCAAGCTGCTGACTTCATAGTAATTTGTTATGCAGCATAGACAACTAATATAACGCAAAAGAAAAATGCCCATGTGCTGAGGTAGGAAAGGTGAATTCTGCAGATTTTAGAAGGCTTCGCAGAGGAGGTGACATTTGTACTCACACATGAAAAGTGAGGAGGATCTAAATAGGGAGACATAGAAAGATGAGCTGCTACATCCTGCCTGACCCCTTAATTCCCAAACCCCCAGCCTGAGAAGACTTTAAGGACAAGGGACTCTAACCTGGGCCCCAGGCAAATTCCCTGAAAGAGCCCTCCTTACCCTTCTTCCTGAAATAGACCCTGGAGAATTTGATCAAAGCTGGCAGATCCCAGCCCACCCCCTCAATGCACTCTAAATTGATCTCTTTAGGTAGAGGAGGGATAAAACAGGCCTGTTTGATTTCCTTTTTAAAAAAATAACTATCTTCTGATTATGTGAGCAACATACGTTCATTATAGACTATTTAAAAAATAACAAGTAGTTTTTAAAAAGTAAAGATTAAAAAAAAACACTGGAGATTCCATGATCCAGAAATGAGCCTTGTTAACATTTTAGCTATCTTATTCTGATCACAGGTACACAGCAAGTGACTGAGATGTCACCCCATTTCGGTCTTTCTGGTCTTCTAAGGAATGTTCCGAGCTCTGGGCCCTTTGGATTAACTCGCTCAAGATAATGGGCAAGTTAATCCAAAGGGCCCAGAGCTCATTAATCCAAAGGGCTGAGAGACCATGCCATTGTTTTTATGATGAAAAGGAGAAAACTGCTCCTGGGGCAAAGACCAGATCCAAGAAGGCGGACTTGGCCCAGAGCACATCTCCCCACACCCTACTTGCACTCCTGCTTATATCTGGCAGATGCCATATAAGGCAGGGACAGAGAGGCAGCCCTCTCGATCCCCTCTGGTTCTTGGAGCTCTTTGGGTCATTCCGTCTGAAGCATCTTGGCCAAGGAGAGAGATCTCTGCCTTGGTGTCCAGGATCCCGCTTCTGGTGGTTTATATGTAACCTGGGCTGTTGAAAGGGAGTGTCCACCTGAGGAAGGGCTGCTGGGGCAGAGCAGTGTCTAGGGACACAGATCCCACCAGTCAGGACTCCTTTCTTTGCCCAGGCAGTGGGCACAGGCTGTGGATGCAGAGACTGGGTCGTTCCTGATGGTTGGAAGGCTGCAACTGTCCTTCCTTGACAGAGCTGGACCATCTCTCTGAACTGACCTTCAGGCCACTGGTCCACCCGCTCTGTCCATTTCTCAGGGAACTCTCCTAGAACCTAGGATCAATAGCCTGCCATTCTTCACACAAAATTGTATAAGTACCACCGCCTTCCTGGTGCCTCCATCCTCAAACTCCCTCTGAGAGTTCCAGTTTCCATTTTTTGTTTTTAATAAAGAGAGGATTCTTTTTTTCAGACCCGTACTGTTGAAAGAGGCATTGGTTATTGCCAT